ACAAATAATAGTGTTTTGTGTGAAGCGATTGAATGCGAAAATAATGATTATTTTTTAATCAATATAACAATTGATTGCATTTCATGTAAAATCAGTGATAAAATGCTAAACAATTGTCATATCATTACTAAATCTGATGATTATTTACACTGTTTTTGGCCTAAATGTCAATATAAAACTAAATTTAACAGTGTTTTAATTAATCATAAATTAATTCATTCAGAAATAAAACCATTTAAATGTGATTTTATTGATTGTAATAAAAGTTTTACTCATTCGGGAAACTTATTTCAGCACAAAAATAACTTACATTTAAAAGTTAAATCATTTATTTGTAATTTCAATGAATGTCACAAAAGTTTTACAACAAAATCATCTTTACTTCAACACAAAAGTTGTGTTCATTTGAATGAAAGGAAATTCAAATGCAATGAAGAAAATTGTGGCAAAAAATTTCAAACCAAATCAATTCTAAATCGACACAAACTCATTCATTCGGGAGAGAAATCTTTTGTTTGTAATGTAAATAATTGTAACAAAAAATTTAAACAATCGACAAATTTATATCATCACAAAAGAAGATGTCATTTAAATATCCGTAAATTTAAATGCAATTTAAATGATTGCAAAAAGTTATTTTACACAAACTATGACTTAACAAATCATATAAATTGCATTCATTCAAATGATAAGCCATTCAAATGTGTTGAATATAATTGTCACAAATCATATGCTATTAAAAGCTCGTTGAATTTGCATATAATGCGAAACCACAAAATTGAATAATTACATTATTCAACTTTGCTATTTGGCTAGATTTTGTATTATTATTTATTTTAAATATTTAAATAAAATATTTATGATAATATTTTTAATTATATATTTTGTATTTGCCATAAATGAAATGATAAATTTAAAATAAAAACAAATTATATCAAAAAGTATACCAATCAAGTCATTCAGGATTACAACAATTTTAATGTTATTTTAATAATTATGATTTTAATCATAATTTTTAATAGTAGTTTACGTTTAAAACGACAATTAGCGTGACCACCTCTAGGTTTGAAAATAGAGAACATTTGACCAAATTCCGTTTAAAATAGAGAACAAATAGAGAACACATATTTTACGTTAATTTTGCTTCTAAATTTAAAAATCGAGATTATTTAATACCAATGTTGAAGCAACATTTATTGTGTTAGTTGTATTTTTTAAATGGCAATTATTAATCAAGAAAGTGTCATTTCCTTTAAAAAGTTTATTATTGTATAGATAAATAAATATTTAATAAATTTAGTAACATTCCTATCATTTATTTTAAATTTAAAATAGAGGACAGTTCTCTATTTTGTCCAAATACAGGTCCAAATAGAGAACTGTTCTCTGAAATAGAGCACAGGTGGTCACGCTAACGACAATATACAGTAAAACATCTGTGCTATGAAAAAACGGTTCCAGGATGTTTGGTATATAACAGATTTTAGTTATAAAGTTATATAACGTTTTAGTTTACAGCAAGAAAGTATATTGAAATACATTATTATTTACCAATAAAATAAAATTAACAAATTTAGTAGAATATGTTGACGAATATTTTATAATGTATAATTGTTAAATATACTTTATTTAATAAATGTAATGTTTACAAATAAAATTTATATAATATAATGTGCAGTATTTTGGATCAATTAACACTCATTTAAAATATCAATTAATTACAAATAATAATCCCTCCAAAAGCCATCGCAAGTGCTATGAAAGGGATTATCCAATACTCGGCTCGTATTAAATGGATTCAAGTCTTTGATAATAAATGTATTGTTTGTCAAAAGCTTTGGCCAATTGTTATCGGGTTTACTAAAAACAGAGAAACAAAACATATAAAACAAAAATTATTTACTATAAAAAGTAACAAAATTTATATATAAATACCCGTATTTTGCAAAATTAGTCCATAATCTCATAAGATTAATGCTATAATCACGATCATGTTTACTATATGCCCAACCATGATTAAATGGTATGCCAAACACATAGGGCATATCGATGTTGTGATCGATTCGCATAGTGTCCGGATCGTAACCAAACGCTTCAATGTTAGATCTATGTCCATAATTCAGTTCATAGAACTGCACATTTCGGGCATTATTTTTGACATTTCGGGAAAATTGTTGTCCGAATAGATATGTCGGACAATTCAATGCCATATCACTGGCGAACCGATGGAAAGCCCAGAAAAGTGCCGATTCGTCGGTAGTGTTGACATTTTTGAGGTAAAAATCGGTCACATTTTGAGTATTGATTTGATGAAAGCCGAGTTGACCCGATTGTGCAACCATTTGTTTAAATATCTCAACGGATATATTAGTAACGGATCCTCGATATGATATCCAGTCCTGTGATTCTTCTACATCACTGGCCAGACATACCATTAAATCGATGTCTACATAAAATTATAATTATAAATATTATTTTTTTACGCTCTCTCTCTCTCTCTCTCTCTCTCTCTCTCTCTCTCGTTCTCTTTCTCTCTAAAACCTGAATTGATTTGTTTGCTTTCAAATGCTTTTTGTGTAGAAATAGGCAGAAATTCTGTGCCAAACACTGGAAATGTGATAAATTTTTGTAATAGGATTTCGTGGGTAATCGTCTAGGCATTAACTTTGGGAAACTCGAGTGCGTCCACACCTCTCAGACATTTCAACCAATCTTCAGATTCACTGCAATTCAATTGTTTGGCAGTATTTTTGGCCAAAACTAATGCCTCGGATTTAGTGATCGGTTCCATCCCTTTCCCGAACATAACAGACCCGCTCTCCATAATAGCCCTCTTGAATAGGCCTTTGGATAGCGGGGAGAGTATGTGTGCGGACACCGACCAACTCCCGGCGCTCTCACCAAAAATGGTCATCTGATCCCTATCTCCGCCAAACTGTTCAGCATTTTCTCTAATCTAATATTTATGACATTAATTCATATATTATTTCATTTGTAAATAGTTATTATATTTATAACAAAAATATTAACCCATTTGAGAGCCAATAACTGGTCATAAAAGCCCACATTTCCGGGCGCGTCCTCCCGATCCCCGTATAGAAAGCCCAACTGTCCTAATCGGTAATTAGCCGACACAATAATTAGATCGTGTGCGGCCAGAAAACTACCATTATATAATGTTGAGAATATAGTTCCAGTGTCTAAACCGTCGCCGCCGTGTATGTGAAACATAATGGGTTTGAGCTGTGATTTGTTTGTGTTATTATTGCCCGCATTTGGTGTCCATATGTTTAATACCAAACAGTCTTCACTGAGCGGTTTAAACGGAGCCAAACGACCCGATTGTATACAAGTATGACCCGCATAATATTCATTCATCCTATTGATAATGTTCTTAAGTAAAAATTAAAAATAAAAGTTTTTTTTAAAATATTTATGTTTAATTGTAAATAACACATAACATTTATTTTTACCTTAATAGTTTGTTTTAATGGCACGGGTTTGGCAAACCTGAGGGCTCCAATCGGGGGCTCAGCGTATGGTATATTCAAAAACTGGTCAACAGTTTTGTTGAGCACACGTAATGTCTGACCCCTCACTACACCCGATGTTGTCTTCACATCAATACATAAATTAAAATTTACATTTAATAAAAATATAAATACAATAATCAATAAATTATATTTTATAAACATTTTGATTTTAATAAAATATTTTAAAATTTATTTGTAATATAATATATCAAATAATTTTATAATTATGTAAAATTAAATACAAACTTTAATTAAATCAAATAAATATTGTTAAATAGATTACAAATTGCAAATAAAATAAATTGCATTGCAATATAACTACATACTTATATTTATAAATATTATATAATTTTACTCTTCCTCAATTAATTAATAAAAGTCTATTCCGGTTATATTTTTAACAAATATTGCAAAATATTTATGTTGATATTGTATAACAAGGTCAATTACTTCATTTAATTGTCTATAGAATATCTACTGAATAGGATATGATAATTATGAGAAGTAAAATTACGTAACTGGTTAAAAGTAATCAAGTTTAATAACCCTTGTTTATTGCCATAAAAGGCGATTATATTTATATGATTTTGTGACGGTTCTTGTGTTGATGAGTGGTGTTCAGAGAGGGCGCGCGTGTAATTATGTTTGTTTCGATTTTCGAGTAGCGATATCTCGAAAACTATGGCTCAGATTTTATTTAAACTTGATTAATCGAAAGATTATGATGAAAGGATGAGCTGATGCAAAGGAAAACTTGGGGATATTGTCTGAAGCTGATCCAGTGGACAAAGAGTTTGTCTATTGGATATGAATGGGTCGACTTTCGGGAAGCGATAGCTTGAAAACTATAGTTTTGATTTTGCCCGAAAGTGGTTCAATCAAAAGCTATTGATGAGAGAAAAGGTTGTCGTGAAGGAAAAGTTCAGGTCTATCACCGGAGCTGATCCAGTGAGTGAAGAGTTTGGATGGATGGAGTGTAGTTATGGGTAGAGGTGTGTGCGCGCGGAGTGCTGTGTTGTAGGTGTGAACACCTTTTGACGAACCGTACGGAACGGTGGTTTGAGACCTGATCTTCGGGTGGCGATCGGGTCTACCGTCGATGTGCTTATCGGGTGAAGAGGTATGTATGTACTGAGCGGAGACTTACTGTATATATATATAAAGCACTATCGGGTGAGTGCACGGCTTGTCGGGGAGGAAGGGTAAAGTAAAAAGTATGAGACCTCGGGTCGCAATGCTTATCAAAAGCCGGACTCACTCGGGTAGAAGAGAATATGGAAAAGAGTAAATGACAGACCGTATGATTGCAAACTAAAAACTAAACTGTTTTTATTGAACTTTTCAAACGTTAGGTTAAATACAAAGTTATTTTGAGTATACAGTTAATACGTGCGTAAAAGTATGTTTTGATAAAGTTATACAATGCTTAAATATAAATGTTTGATATCATTAAAACGGTAATGTTATGCAATTTATGAATATGAATAAAATGTAACTATAATTAAATGTAATTGTGATTAACATAAGTAAAACATAGTTAAATACAATGCTGCAAATTGTGCTTAAATATCGTTTGCAGATGTGTTGAGAATATGGTCTCAATTAGCACTTAGGCGTAAGAAAGGGTTAGAAATGAAAGTTTAAGTTATACATGAAATTCTTAGAAAAACAATGAATTGAAAATAATGGTAAAAATAAAGATAATATTCTTCGATGTCTTATATCTGATCTAATACATGCAAATCCTCACAATTTTATATAATTATACAATTATATTTTTACAATTAAATATAAGTTATAACAATTGAATTTACTTTTACTCAATTGCACATACATTAATCTCGAAATTTGCATATAATGTTTGGCACAGAATTTTGGGCCATTTCTGTGCAAAAAGCGTTTAAAAACAAAAATAATGAAATCCTATGATTGATATCTGAAAACAGGTTTTGATTGCCATAAAATGCAGTTTTGAAAACACGTGGAAATTATTTCAATCATCACAACACATGATCTACTGTACATGCTTATTTTGTTGCATTTATTGTCTTTGATTTATGTAGCAATTAATTTGTTAAAATTATATTTTATTTAAATTAATTTTTTCTAAATTTAAAAATGTGTTCAAAATTAATGAGTGTTTCGTTGAAATGAAGAGTAAATTCAATTGTTATAACTTATATTTAATTGTAAAAATATAATTGTATAATTATATAAAATTGTGATGATT